CGGCAAAAGCGCCTGCCTGGCAAGCGCAAGGTCGTGAGTTCGGTTCCCGGTACCGGAGAAAAACCAAAAAAAAATAAATAAATAAATAAAATAAAGAAAGAATAGAGGGAAGCAGGGTGCCAAGAGACTTTCATGCCTTTAGAAGAAGTGGCTGACAGAGGCTGACCTGAGTTGGATATTTTCCTAATCAGCTATAGGGTATAAAATCAGAGTGAGTGGTGATGTCCTAGCTTGTCTTCCTTTCTCAGAACTATAGAGATGAACTACAGGTAGAGTTGCATAGATACACAACAATCCAAGAGATAGTCTTCATTAACTGTGACTTATTATTTAATAAAGTATTCCCGGATTTGAATTTTCCCGGTTATTTGTGCTTCAAAAACACACATTTACCTAATCATGCCACTAAGGTAATATAACCTGTAAAGTACTGCTAATTGTGTAGTTCTAGATTAAAATGCTCAACTGTGATTAAAGACATGATTTTTTAAAATAACATTTCAGGTAGCTCGAACTTATTTGTCCATCTTATATTTTTTACTTTTAACTCTGGTGTGTGTACCATGGGCCTGCCCAAACGTGTTATTTAGTGGTTTTTCACAGTACTATGTGGATGTATTTACAGTGTGGTTTTGCATCTATCTAGTGAATGAATCACCCTTAATGAGGTGGATGGCCAAAGGAATTATGGAATGCCTGACACACGAGAGACAACACATAAATATTTGTTGAAGGTATGATTTATCAATAAGGCAAGTAGCCTATGTTAAATCGTGGTTCCACTATTTAAAACGAAAGGAAAAGAGAGGAAGATAGGGTATGAGGGATTACAGGAATGAATGAGTGACTAGAGGAGGGAGGTAAAGGGTGGAATGACTGATGTGGCACAAGATCACTCAGGTCTTCCCCTCCCCTTGCTTGGAGTGTGCGAAAGCTTCACCTTTTCTTATCAAGACAGTAAGCCCTCACCATTTGACAGAAATAAATTAGTATGTAAAGGCACATCAGACATTGCGTGGAAGGTTTACATAAACTATTATGCTCATTACCATTAGAAATGTAGTAAAGAGCTGTCTTTTCTGTATCAGTAAAGAGTCTTTACTGATCTCTATTAAATATACATAATTCAGACATTATCCAATGGCAGTATAGTAATTAGCCCAATAATAGCTAATATTTAGGTACCTTCTGGACCTAAGGTTTTTATTTCAGGCAAAACTTGGAACAGAAATTAAAATTTCAAATTCCGCAAGGGGATGTAGAACAGTAATTCTTTTGGATTAAACAATATGCTGAGTTATGGAGAACAAAAAATGACTTTGGCAGTAGTTTTCACCTTTGAAAAGGAAGAATAGTAATTCAATGCTATAAGTACTACAATAAATAATAATAGAACATAAAGGTAGCTCCAAAGAAGAATAGTTAATTCTGGAGTTGTTTAGGGTCGAACCTCTGGAGGGCAAGTTGGGGGGCAAGAAGTTGAGGGTTCAGGTAGGTAAGAGGTTTGCAATACAGCCCAGAACAGTTAGTAAAAAAAAAAAATCTGCAAAGGAGCTGACAAATTTGAAAATAAAAACAATATTCAGAATATCAGAAAATAACAGCAATAATATACTAAACTTTTTGAAAGCGTTTATAGCAGGTAAAAGGAATGATAGAAACAGTAGGAGAGGAAATGGAGAAGTAGATTAAGTGGCTTTTTCTAACTTTCTTCGTGGCCATATTTGGAATCTAAGGATCAGAATGAGCATTATTTCTGACACTCAGAGAGCGGCCGAAAGAGAAATTTGTAAGTCAGAACTGAAGTGAGGTGTGGTAATGCAGAGTTCAAGGAGGGAGAAGCTGGGCTGGTAGATCTGGCACACAAACTTTGAGTTCACTCTGAAAGAGTTCAAGTGTTGGAGGGGAATAAAAATGACGAGCAGGCTCCAGGGAATTACCTGGGGGCCAGTAAGTGGCAATAATAAGAAAAAGAAAGTAAAAGAGTGTTACAACCAGGTTTTAAAAGTCAAGGGAGAGAAGAGTATTGGCAGTATTAGGATGGAGAGTTCTGATGCACACCTCTTGTCCTCTTAGCATGTGATGGTGGGAAAGAAAAAGCAGCCTCTGACTTGATGGAGCCATGTGAAACAGCATCCTTGCCAAGTCACACAACCTAAGTGAGGAGAGGAGAGAATTCTGCAAAGGCCCTGAAGTTGGAGAGAGCCAACTCGGCGTGCAGTTCTGTGAAATTTCTCCAGGAAAGAAGCGCAGAGGAAAGAGCAAAGAGCACATTTGTGGCGAAAGTACCAGGCCAGGTGTGATGACCGGCATCAGGCCAGGAGAGGCTCACTGGGCTCTTAGAATGCACTCCACCCTGCGCGTGGCTGTGGCAATGCTGACTGCACAAATCAGCCTCAGCTTCTGCCTTTGCAGAACTAGAAGACATGTAACTTTGGCCTCTTGAGAACAAAGGCAAGGCACAGAGAAAAATGGCTGGCTGCAAGCTTCCCAAGGTAGGTTACTATCTTCTCAGAAACTGGATTGTAAGATTTCTGCAATCTCCTTTCTACTAAGTTATAGAAAGGCAAGAAACTTAACAATTAAAATTTCAATTCATATTTGAGCATACTGACTTTTTAAAGTAAAATTTACCCATACAAAAAGTTTTAAAAGTTAAATATTTTATTTTATTTTTCCTCAAAGAGTTGTTTGAATCATCATGAGAGTCAGGTGATCTGGATTAGTTTTAGGAAGGCTGGGCTGGAACTTCTTGTCAAATGTTTATTTTTTTAACCTGTTTTTTTTTTTTTTTTTTTTGGTACCAGTAATTGAACTTAGGACCTTGCACTTGCCAGGCAGGCGCTGTGCCGCTGAATTGTATTCCCGGCCTCTGGGATGGAACTTCTTAAATGTCCATTCAATAGAATATAGAGGGCCAGGGATTTAGCTCAGTGGCACAGCACCTGCCTGGCAAGTGCAAGGTTGTAAGTTTGATTCCTGGTACCAGAAAAAAAAAATAGAACATAGAGATCACATTAACTCAGCCTACAAAAATCTGATTTACATTGTTGGGGCAAAATACCTGACTGTATGATCCTCAAGCTGTATCTTATTCTCTGTTGAATCTCCAGGGGATAGAATCTCCTATGCATTTTATAAATAATTTTTGCTTATACATAAGTTTTCATAAATTTTATAAATAATTTGTGAAATAAATATTTTAATATTAGAAAGATTAAGCAAGTAGGTAAAGGGTAGGTTGTAGAACAGAAGGGAAAATGTCACGCTAAGAGGGATAACAATTAGGAGCAACTTCACCAACATGATTAGAGTCAATATGGACTGGAGTTTCTTTCCAGCTCCTTGCAGATTCATCAAAGGAATGAGAAAACAACGTTCTTTCTTGCTTTCACCTTTCTCTCTCCATTATCTGCTGCTCCCTTCATTAAAACTACCCAATTTGAGTAAGGTTCAAGATTAGAAAATGAGTTCTACTAAGAGGTTGGTAAATTGAAACCAATCTCATTTGGTCCAGATAGTATCAGTGGTGGATGGAAACTTTTTAGTAGCCGCTGAGATGCTGCTCTAGGGGGAAACGAGATGGTTAGGCAGGTGACACTGGATAGACAGATCTAAATGACAATCTTTCAGGTTCCTAACTCATTTATTTTATGTTATTGTGCCTTTGTAGATACAAAGATTACAAACACTGTTATCAGAAAGATAAATGTTTTATTTTTCCAGTGCCATGACTCTTATATAAGTCATTTGTCATGGTTTTATATCTAGATGTCTCCCCTAGAGTTTCATGTGCTCAGGGGTGAGGCTTTTGGAAGATCTTTGGATTATGGGGGCTTATCCATTATCTAACAGGCAACTTAAGTACTGAAAACACAGTGCTCAAACTTTATGTGCATAAAAGTCACTCAGAAAACTTGTGAATATTGTGGCTTCTCCAGCCTCACTTCCAGATTTTCAGTCAAGAGTACCAAGATTTGAAGTGGGAAGTGCAGTTCGATTACAGCCCAGTGGATTCTGACACAGGCGATCATGGATACCCATGTTGAGAAACACTGACCTGGTATGAATACTTACATAGCCTATGAACCATAAGCAGAAAGCTGGAGAGATCCACTCCCTGGCATGAATTCCACAGTCAATCCATATGGCATTCCTTGCCGTTTGTTCTTTTCCAAAAACCTGCTCAAAGAGTACCAGAAAGCAGAAAAAGCACGAAGTCTTAGTATAATAATTTTTACTTACATGGCACTAATATTTAATCTCTTCAACAAATCCACAGAATGTATATGCATTGCTTTAAGTATTCCTTTGAGAATTTTCAAGGAAAATTAAAATCTAGTGAGAACAATGACATAGCTAAAGTCACACTACTAGTGGGAATTGGGACTGAAGCTTGCAGCCTGGCATCTTGATTTAAAACTCTCTTTATCCTTCCACAATTATTTTTTTAATCAATAAAGACCTTTTATTGTCTCATTAAAATATATATTGGTCTTACAATAGAGAAGCTTGTTTCTGTGCCTGGATAACTCTTGGATCTTACTCATCTGGCTGCTGAACTGTTCCTTTTTCGGAAACATAGATACTATCCGAACAGTTTCTGATGTCCTTGTTTTTGACTATTGTGGCCTGCTGAATCAAGGCAGCTGAATTTGAAACAAGCTCAGTGTCATTTCCCTCAAGGATTAGCTCATCTTTCTGGGCTTGAGATACTGAGCAAGCAACACTTGCCCTCATACGAACCCAGCGAATGTATTTTTCACCCAAGAAATTCCAGATTTCAATAACAGACCCATTGTCCTGAATAACGACGCTGATGGGGAAGTGAGTGTACATAGACCTCATCTTGTACTGGAAGCTCAGCCTAACACCCTTGATCGTGTTCTGTGCACTGATTGTGTGAACAGTAGCCAGTTCCTTTCTGTTTCCCCACCATTTGTCAACCTGGAGTCTCTTCGTTTTCTTCCCAAGGAGACTGAGTTCTACACTGATGTGGTTGAAGCCCCTCGGCAGAGTTCCTCAGGGGCTCTTCACAGTAACTGTGCGTCCCTTCAGCATGATGTCGACATTTGCTGGAATGTGGACAATCTGATTGCTGAAAATGGTCCCCATTCTTGCACAATTACTTGGTCACTGACAGCTGCATGTGGAAAGGTAGAAGCAGACTAGAGAGCTAGTGTTTTGGGCCATATGGTTACACTTCAGTGAGAGGTGGATGGGTGTGTATTGGTCAAGCAGCCTTCCACAGGAGGTGTGGAGACATAGTAGGGACAGAAATGCCCCCATCATTTTGCCTAGAGTGAGCACTTCTTAGGCATGGACTGTTTCTGCACCTCACAAAAAAAGGACTGCACATGTAGCTTCACACAGACTGATACCAACAGATTAGGGGTTGGAGACCTTGTTAACATTCACAGCATCATGTACTATAAGGGGCTAAATCTCTGGAAAAAAAAATTCCCACCCTTTTCTCAACGATAGCCTTTGAAGTCTTTAGAAGAGTTATCAAGAACAGTTTCAAAATTAGTCGTAATTCATTTGATTTAAAAAATTAGTACAATTCAATTTAGAATGTGGAGGAAAGGAAGAAGATTGTTGTAAAATCTAACAGTATGTAATTTTAAAATAAGAAAAAAAAGAGATTTAAATATTCCCATATACCACTCTGATATCCAAATATACGCCACTCTGACAGCCAGCAGCAAAGTAAAGAAGAAAGTCAAATGGCCACTAATGGCTTAACTGTGCAGCCAGAGAGAACTATCTGACTGACTTAGTCTATTCAATGTCAAGAAAGTTTCAACTTGCCTGGATTAGTTGCCATACTTGGCATTTCTAACTGCAGAGCAAACTCTTGGCACTCTTTCTGACACTGGAAATATAGAGGAGCCCCTGAGATTCACATATGCGCATATTCTGCATTGAGTGAGACTAGGATGAAGGTATCCAGGGTGCATGCTTTTCCAAGACATGCATTAGGGTTCCAGACACACAAGCTCCAAGAAGTACACACAACATTGGTGGCATAAACTTGGGTGGATGTACCATTACATGGACCTAATCCAACTGACCAACTCAACCACTAATAGGACCCCAAATTTCACCTGTCTGGTTTGAGTTTGTGCTGTAAGTTCATTTCAGGGACTGATTAAAACTGAAAACTCTTGACTCAAAATTTTATTTTTGGATGACTGAAGAGACTCACCTATCATAATGTAAATAAATTCTATGTTACTAAATCTAATGTTTTTTCAGCAATCACATTTTTTTCAGAGCTTCTTTTTAATTATTTAAGGGACAGAGTGGTAAAAAACAGAATCACAGAATCAAAAACTCTAAGCAGGTAGGTATCGCTATGTCCCCTACACCTAAAATTCTATGTTGAATTTTATATAGCTGTAAACCTTTCTTAAGGCAAATTTATCTGAGAGAAGAGACTGTATCCAAGGTACTGTAAGTTGATCAGATTCTTTCCCATAAGATATGGCAATGGAAAGTAAATAATCAAATGGACCATGATTGGAGCAGAAGACATCATATGAGCCCTACCGCAAAGAACTCCAGCATCACCCCGCTTTCTACCCTTCCCCAGGTTTGATTGTTTAGCTTTTACTTTGGTTTCCAGCAAATGCCTCTCTCTGTGTCTCTCTCTCTCTGTCTCTGTCTCTGTCTCTCTCTCTGTCTGTCTCTCTCTGTGTCTCTCTCTCTCTCCTCTTTCTCTTACACACATTAAGTCCATCTATCTGAGGTGATAATGATGCAAATAAAACAGGAAGTTGAAAAATAATCTAGATTATCTTATGAATGTGAGTGCCAAAGCTCAGTGTAAATGAAATGGTTCATCTACTGTCACATATTCACAGGGAGAGTCAAATCTAGAACTAGAACTTCCACTCTCACACCATCACTTTATTATTAAAAGAATACTGAAAGATAATAACTGACCCCATGCATAGCTGGGTAGTAAAGTTGAGAGCACTTAGAATACAAATATTTCCAGAGCTCAGAGAAAAAAAGATGCTCGTTATAACAGACAGCACTGGAGAATTAATCCCTCCTCTCACAACGTACCTTTAAAACATAAAGTGGACGCTTCTCGTAAGAGGATCCGATGTGAATTTTTCTAAGCATATCAGGATACTTCTCAGTTACTACTTCTATCCAAGAATAGATCTGTGAAAACAAATACAGGAGGTTAGCCACAGGACAAGTTCAAAGTATTTCTCTAATTACTGGAAGCAGATGGCTTCTTCAAAAAATGAGATTCACCTAAAATCTTTGTAGATGGAAGAAATGAAGAGCTAAAACATTGGGGTGGGGTTTTTCTTTTGCTGTTTAGGAAAATTAATAAAATTAAATTTTTGACAACTTCAAGTTTAGAGAAAGTTAAAAAGTAGTAAGAAATACATAACAAAGTCGAAAAAATTAAACTTTAGCTTATGAATCCTGAAAGTTACTTTTAAAGCTCATTATATCTACTTCCTGCCTCTGTGCATCACATCTTTTTACTATTCATTTAAGAGTTCATGATTATATGAGACTTAAAGAAAGATAAATTTATTGTTCAAGATTAAGGAAGCTGGGGCACTGGCTTTACCCAGAACAAATATCAGTGTCATTGTTTCCCACTGAATGTTTGTGCAAGTACAATGAGACTGGCAGCATAACAAGAGACAGGGGAGGACAGCCTGGAGGATGAAACAAGAGAAATTTGATTTGGGCCTCTCGCTTTGGTCAAAGTTCAGTGGTATTTGAAATTCCATCAAGATGACAGCAGGAAAAAATCAAAAATTCTAGGACCGATTTTATGCTAGCATCTATATCCAAGCAGGCACTAAATTCTCATGTGGTTGGGGATCTCTGGGATTGGGTTTGGTCATAATACAGAACAACTTCCCAAAGACCATAGTGAAAACTCTGTACCTTGTGAAACGGGAATGATCAGCTCTTGACTTTATCTCTGGGATCTTTGCTAGTGGTGTCTTCAAATAGCAATCTTAGCAGTAGATTACTTAAGTGTAAGTGTGACAAAAAAAAAGAAAAACCACACACAAAAAATCCAAAAAACCCAAAAGAAGAAAATCCCCCTTCCCATTAGGTCATTGCATGGAAAGGGCTGCTACAGAATCACTGCTGAAGAAGAAGGAAAAACAGCTCTTATTAACTGCTTGGAAAGAATTAGGGCTAGAGAGTGGGGAAGAAAAGCCCAAAGCATTTTCTGGAGTATCATACGGGTGGACTGACTTGCATACACCAAATTCATGTGTTAAAGCCCTAACACCCGGTCCCGTAGGATGTGGCTGAATCTGAAACTAGATGGTTAGGTCTCAAGGCCCTAGGGGAGGGTACTAATCTGCTCTGACTGGTGTCTTTTTAAGAAGAGGCAGTTAGGACAGAAAGAGACCCAGGATATGGATTATAAATATTGGACCCACAACTTAATTGAGGAAGGGTTTATTTTTTGTTTGTTTTTTCTTATAAACGTTACGCTGATTTATAAGCACTGCTCTGGGAAGTTATAGTTTGTCCACGATAGTGAGTTATCTAACTCTGAACATACTGCAGATGGCAATTACAAGTCATAACGGTGAGAGAAATCCACAGCTGGCCTGTTGCAGCCAGCACAGAGACAAGAGTAGGGTAAGTGGAGGGATAGAGGTGGCCTTTACAAGAAAAGAAACAACGTAGGATACTTCAGAAAGGAGTGTTCTGCACTGGGAGGAGACATTACAATACAGAATTACAAGTGTTTTAACTCCTGTCCTGTCCCCAGTGAAATCACACTTAGAAACCCTTAGAATTTGATTAAAATTGAAGCTTGTTTTGCTCTTAAAATTTTTAATATTTCAAAAGGCCTGCTTCAGTGATGTGTGAGCTCCTGTCAGCGATGTGCTCGAGGTGGGCAGCCCACTCACACTCTGAAACAGGTATGCACAGGTGCGTGTGTGCCTTTAAACCCAGCCCTGAGGCTCAGGCTACTGCTATTGCTGCGCATTCGCCAGTTAACTGTCCAGTGTCCTCGATGTAGAAGATTGGGCAGACCAGGGACACCCTCAGGTGGTAATGAAGGACCAGGAGACACATTTCCCACCCCTACCCAAAAGGAGCTCTTTATTTCTAAACCAGTGTTGGCATCCAGCGACCAGCATAGTTTTCTCCTTTTAGGAAAAACACACATATCACATACTCATATATAATTTTTTTGTTTTTATATTCAAATACAAAAATACTACTTTACTTTGTGTTGTAAATAGAGGACAAAGGAATAAGAACTTTTTCTTCTTTTAAAGTAGGGATATCCATCAGTCTACACTCAGTTTTGCATTCATGGGAGGGAATGGAACCCAAATTAAGGAAGCACCGCAGCAGAAGACCAAGGGCCCTTTCCTCCCTCATTCCCAACCCTCCTCTTTCTTACCTAATTTCTACTTATAGTAGGAAGTTGGTTATACTTTAGGAAATTGAGCTTTCCACCAAGAGGGGAGAAAGCCTCACCTAATCAAAGTCATGTTTTTCCTCTTTCAGCTGCCTTGAAAAAAATTCTCTCCTCCCCTGTTCCTTCATGAACACATCTGCTCTGCCCAGACAGGTACACCTACGGGACAAGCACGCTTGATAAAGTGGAAAGCAGTGGTTAGTTTCCCTGCCTGCGCTCCCACTAACACATTAGAAAGTTTCTGTGATGGAGAAAATGGGGCAAGGGTGTGGTGGGGGAAAGAGACTAAGGACTTGATTCCTCTGTCCCGGCCAAAGAAAGCAAGGTTCACAGAGCATGAGGAATAAGAAAGACCTGGATATTACAGCCCTTGAGGTACAACAGGGACAAGTGCGAGATAGGAAAGAATTAGAGTAGTGTGCAGATGTAGGAGTGGCTCCATGCTGGAAGTCTAGTCCACTTAGTGTTTGTACTGGAAGGGCTTGTCACCAGTCTTATAGAAAAGACACATGCAGAGGAGGGCCCTGTCACAGCAGAGGGGCCACAGGGGGCAGAAGGAACTTTCTCCTGGACGACATCCAGGGAGTGTGGATCTGGTACTGTGGTTGGCTCTGTCAGTAGAAAAGTCCATGATGTTGGAGGTTCCACGGAATCCAGTCAGGTCCTGGATGTTGTCCAGGCCTCACTTGGGACAATAGGTGCAGATGTAGTACTGGTTTCACTTTCTTAGTCTCTAGAGGCTTCCCCAGTGTACTTCAGGCCATCCTCTTCCCATGCAGCCTTTGGGCTGAAGTTGCTATAGCAGCTGCCACCATCCCAGTTCCCAGGAATGGGTCTAAGTTCAAAGGCTGTTGTCACTCCAAGGTCTTCATGTACACTATGCAAGAAGAAATGGGCTATCCAGAGAAGATCTCGCATGGATATTCTTTCACAGGGGTTCTATCTGGAATTCCCACTGGACAGGCATGATTTCAGCACTCACCTCTATACTCTTGCTCTGGTGTACAAGCAGGCCCAATATTGCCTCTTTCACAATATCCCTGCCATAAACTTTCTCTGCTCCCATACCACCATAATATGGACTTTAAGACCCAGGGAACTGTTGGAAGCCCAACCAATGGGTACCTATCTGCCCCCATGAGAGTATATTTCTGCTCCATTCCCAACCAGAGGTGCTGGTTGCATACTGTAGCAGTCAGCGCTTACTAAAGAAACAGGTTTAATGCAAGGTATGCACATATATAGGCATTTACAAGATTGGCTTACAATGGCCACCCAGAGTCAGATGTGGAAAAGTGCAAAAAAGCTGTTTATGTGTGGAGATCTGAAGGATCTAGTTGAAAGCCTGGAACTAGCTATAGTGTCCCGTGTGAGTTTGTCCTTATTTGCACTTTCATCCCTCGTGAGTCTTTAATCAGGAGGCTGAAGGGTCTGCCCTGGAAGGCAACAGACAACGTCCAAGATGAAGGTAAAGATGAGGGCTTCTCTGAAGAAAGAGAAATGAGGCTTCCTTCTCCGTTTCCCTTTTATTCCATTCATGCATCAAGACAGTTGGTTGGTGCCACTCACATCCACTGCAGGTCTTCTGTCTTCAGTACATCTCTTCAGCCACACTCAGAACTATGCTGATCCAGTTTAATTGGGCATTTCTTATGCAAGTTGACACAAACAGTAAACCATCACACATTTCTTCCTTGTCCATTATCCATTTACGGGTGTACCCTAAATTGGTCTCTAGGCTTCCAATTATACTACTTAAACACTTCATAGACCACCTGATTATTGTGATCTTTGCAGAAGCGGTCTTGAAACAGCCATAGGGATAAAGTATATATCACCAATGAAGCCCTCAGTGCAGAAAGTGTGAGAGCACCAAAATTCCACTCAGACAGCTAGCTCTTCTGCACACTTTTGCTCACAATCTGGGGTGGCAGTCCTGTGGCATGGCTCTCCTCCAGTGCTGTCAACCCAGATACACGTCTTGGACTTCATTGCCCTCAGGCAGGAACACATTCACCTGCTTGATGCCTTTGTTCATGCAGGAGCTTGCTGAGGTGCCCCCAGCGGAAGATATTCTGGGCAGTGAGTAGGTGCACGGCAGCTGTGAGAGTGAGGTGAGGACAGGGTAGAGGAGGCCAGCGTACTGTCAGGTGCCCAGGTCTTCTCTCATTCTTGATTCTGCTGAGAGGTTTATTTTGACTCACGGTTTTTAGAGGATTTGCCCATGGTTGGGTGGCACAGGAAGGAAAGGTATTCAGCCCATGGTAGCCAGGGAGCAGAGGAAAAGAGAGGGAAGAACCAGAGACAGGAATTCACCCTTCCAGGTCAGCTCCCGGGGCCCCACCTCCTGCAGGCCTATTTCTTACACCACATTCAGCTACTCAACTCAGCAATGGATGAATGCACAGATGAGCACACATCCCAATGATCCAGTCACCTTCCACACACATAAGACTTGGTGGGGGGTTATACCTAAACCATGATGTGAATACACAGAGGAGAAGCCACACGAGGACACAAGAAGCCACCCAGCTACAAGTCAAGGAGAACAACCTCAGAAGAAAACAAACCTGCTGACATCTTGACTTCACACTTCTGGCTTCTAGAACTGTGAGCAAATAAATTTCTCATGTTTAACCTCCACAGACTGTAGTGTTTTGTTTTGGAACCCCTAGCAAACCAATATAGTCATAGACTTGTTTTTTCATTATTTCCAAGTAAGAAAGCTTTTTTGAGTGGAAGAATTAACATATATTTTTTAAAATTTTTTAAAATACTTCTGTTTAAATCATTCTACTTTCCCTATCAAATTCAATATAACAGTGACATATTCATTTTCTGTCGTTTGCAAATCATGCCTACCTAGCTCCTCTGTATTTATAGCCCAGACTGGCCTCGAACTTGCAATGATCCTCCTGCTTCAGCCTCCCAAGTGCTGGGAGTACAGGCCTGTGCCACCATACCCAGCTTAAAAATAGTAACTTTGAAGGGCAGTGTGATGACTTACTTCATTTAGTGAGTGATATTGTTCATAGTATGAGGAGGAGGCCCGGGGACTGACTGTGTCATTAGAAGTCTGCTGTCGAATAAGATTTTCCACATCTCCCATCAAGATGCTGTGGGATAAAACAGAAGTGAGCTGACTTCCACGCAGAGCACTGGCTTTCTCACATGGCCCACTACAGACACAATAGGCAAGAACAGGGGAATAATGGTGAACAGATCTAATAGCAACTGTTCATCAAGGTAAAAACATCACCATCTTACACTGTGATTAGCTGACTTCACCATTTCAGCAGAGCCTCAGTGTGTGCTGAGCAAAAGTAGCTCTCTGGGTATGGCTTCAGGACATCCCAAACCTCACCCTTTCCCACCAAATCTACTTTTCTAGACTGTGATTCTTTAATATCCTTTACATGAACATGTAGATTAATGAACACTTTCTTCAATCCAGAGTAATATTTTATGACTTTTATCAGCTAATGGTCAAGGAGAAGCAGAAAGCCTTTTCTTCTTGTTATCCACTGGCCTATATCAGATGTTCTGCAGAGTCAAAAATGATCAAATCTCTTCAGAAATGGAAATACAGGATAAGAGAAGATATCAGAATGGCACCTTGCTTATTCTATTAACTAGGTAAATACATTCGCTGAATTAAAGCATCAACGTTAGAATGAACAAATTGAGATTAGCTGCCATGTTAACAAAGGTTTCTCTTATTTACACCAGTGGATAAAAGCCAAGGGTTTAGGGTTATGGGTTTAGACCAGTGGTAGAAGGGTTGTGCAGACAGCATGGGACCCTGGGTTAGAGCCCCAGCACCACCCCGCCCCCAAAAGCCAAGGCTTTGACATCAGAAAGATTTCAGTTTGACTTCTAGTTCCACCATATCTGAGTTGGTTAACATGGAGAAATTCCTTTATAAGATTTTTAAAATTTTCTTTAAACTGGAATAGTATTTATCACAAGGTGAAATAGGAGTAAGTGCTACAATGCGTAGACCAGCTCAGCACAGTTCCTGGAAGGCTGTGAGCACCGACACTCGTGCTCATAAGTTACAGCACATTACCTAGACACACAGAAGAGAGCACGGTCCCAGGGAAAGTATGAGGGAGCAGGAGGAGCCTGGCAGCTGGGCATGTTGGATAAAAACCTACAGAACAGGGGCTAGTGTCTGAACGGAAAGAGTTAATGACTTAAAACCTTTAAAAAATCATTTATTCAACATGGTAGTTGTTATCTTACTCTCTAATATCAGAACTGCAGCACGAAGAAGTTACTAAATCCTACAAGATAATATAGGTAAATAAATGTCAGTGGCAGTCACCAGCCCAGGTTTTCTGCAGAGTCAGACTTTCTCATTTAGGGCCACATATTCAGAAATGTTTGCTAACTTTGTGAAGGAAGAATTAAAAAAAAAAAAAAAAATCTAACCCTCCCAGAGCAGCTTTTGAAAAGCAGTACCACAAAGCCTCCTATGGTTCTATAGTGAACAACAGTTGTGGGTACACAGTGATCCTGAAAATGGAATAATGAGAGCCTTTACAGACCACTGAGACTAACCTTCATTCCAGGTACAGCGCTGTAGTTATGAGCAATTGAACCGTTTGTCACAGAGCTGGGCCTTGGGCTTTATCACCAGCCCACTTCAGGGACTTTCATGTTGTCATGTTCAATGTACTTTATTGCTCCAGAAAGCAGTTATACCATCTCCTAATGCACAATGGATGTTTATAATAGCTATTCAATATATATCAAATTATGCCTACCTGAATGGAATTCTGCTGTCATTTAAATGGGCTTTCACATTGCTTACATCAGACGCATTCACAAAAAAATGGACTTCTTTTTTCTTTTCAATAAATTCAGCTGTTACTGGCTGCCAGAGAACAATCTATAGTTTCAAGAAGCAAAATTGATTAAAAACAGTTGTTCACATCATTCTCATCTGTAGCTAGAGCCATAAAAGAGGTATCTATAATAGAGATATGAAAAGAAAATTTCTTGGCTACTGGTACTCATCCACACATATGATGATACAAACATTATTTTTCAGTGAGCTCTTTTTATTCTTCTCTGCAATTTTAGTTGCTAAAGAGGGCCTGGAACCTACTCAATTAATATTTGACAAGAAAATGAATGAATGAATGAATATATAACTCATCTATAAAACTGGACGTGTATGTCAGATCCTTAAAGAAAAAACAAAATTTGTCTAGCAAGAAATTTGATTATACAGTACATTGATTTCATTTAAGCCAGGTATGATGGTATATACCTGTAATACCAGCACTCTGGGAGGCTGAAGCAGGAAGCTCACAAGTTCACGCCCAACCTAGGCAACTCACTGCTTTAGCAAGACACTGTTTCAAAAATAAAAAAGGGTTGGGGATGCAGCTCAATGCAAAGGCCCTGAGTTCAATCCCCAAGAACCTCCCTGCAAAAGATATTAATTTTATTTAATTAAAAACTCCGTGTACTTCATGTTGCTATTGTGTGAATATTCCTTTCTGTTAGTCTAAGCATGGCCTTTAGACAACGCCTTCCAATAATATTTACATTTTTTCTAGTTTACTGCACCTTTCTGAGGCACTTTTACACCATTTCCTTTGATCATTGTCACATCACTTTGATATAAATGAAGCACATATTATAGTTTTCATTGTTCAGATGAAGAAATTACCCTCATGAATGATTTGTCTAAAATTATACATCAGATAGTAGAACAAGAACATTCTAACCTCTGAACGCTTTCTCCAGTGATATTTCCTCTCTATCCTGTGTGATGGCCATGAACATATGCCACTCAGCTCTTCTGTTGCGAAGAGCATGAGTGAGCGTTGTTGAGTGGTTGCCTGTTCCAGCGGTCACTCGTCCCTGGCGATCCATAATGGGCTGAGGCCACACTGCCCAGGGCTGCAGCCAGCTCTGGTTGAATACTGTGGGCATGCTGCTGCAAGCCTATTGCTCCCAGCTATGAAAGAGGCTCTTACAACAGGTTATTTAGCTAAAGGAGAGCCCTGTGCTAGCCCAGCCTGTGTTGGAAGTGCTCTGTAGTCTAAGATCCTCCATGCAAGACCCTCTTTCCTGCAGAGGTGCCAGACTGCACCATGCTCAGAGGTGCTCTTTGCTATTGCCATTTCCCTCCTTGCTATCCTTAGCAAGCAGTACCATTTTCTGTTGCACTTCTGACTTGGTGTGGCTTCTGCTTCTTGCAGAACACTCACAAAGCCATCGCTTTTCTACCACGATGCTTTGTAACTCATCTATTTTCCACACCTCACACATTCTAAAGAAATGGGTCCCAGGCATGAGAAACTTTTTCCACTTTTCATTTTCTATTAGTACACATTTGCAGTACATAATAATTACATCCCTCACAAGGGTTGGTGTAGGTACATAACACATTTTACATCTCCTTTTCATCCCCTTTCTCTCCTCTCCCTCATCACTCTCTCCATTTCTTTGTTCCCTTCTTTTTTGTAAAAGAGCCATTTCCCCTTTTCTTATTGTCTATCTTTCATTTTGTTCTTTATTTGTACTTTGAGTTTCTCATATATCTTGGTTAAGGACCTACTCTTTCATAAGCAAAATTCTACTGGACTAATGTTACTATAGCAACTTTACAAGGACAAATGATTATAAAATTGTCTGAGAAACCAGTATCACAAAGGAAGGTTTGATTTTGGGATGAACAAAGTCATGTGATTATGGGAAGGAGTAAAGCCTATAACAAAAGATTTCATACCAGATACATATGTCAGACAGACTTTGAGAAGAAACGTAGCATACAATATTCATACAAAATAAAACCAATATAAACATAAATTAGGGAAATTACCTCATAGGTTGCACTAATATTCTGTAGAACTTGAACTTGCCTGGAAGTTCTAGGAAGAGCAGATAAAACCTGGCCACTGGGGCAAAAAATAAAAATGTGAAAATTAGGTACATTATACCTGGAGAAATTTCTAGATAACTATAACAAGGAAGTAAATGTAAAATGTTAGCAAGACTGATGATCTCAGTCAGAGCAGATGTAAAAACCAATATATTCTTTCTTTTTTTACTTTTTAATTTTTTTCCTCTTAAGCAATTGTAAAATAGACAGCTGTCTTGAATGGAGGTTTACAGAGTATAGTTCTTTTTTATCTTGTGTGTGTATATGAAAAAAACAAAAAAATTGAATTTGTCTTTATTGGTACACGAAAGTAGAGGAAATTCTCATACACTGTTAATGAGAATGTAAACTGTATAGTCATCATGGAAAAATAGTATAGACATCCCTCAAAAAATTAAAAATAGAGCTATGATTTGATCCAGTGAGCCTAATACTAGAACATGAAATCAGTATGTCAAATGCCCATGTTTGTTGCAGCACTATTTACAACATCCATGGAATCAACCTTAGTGTCTACCAGTGGATAGATGAATAAAGAAAATGTGGTATACATGTATATACAATGAAATACTATTCAGCCATTAAAAAGAATAAAATACTGTCATTTCTGACAACATGGGTGAGCCAGAGAACATCATGGTAAATAAAATAAGTCAGTCTTATAAAAACAACTGTTATACTTGTACATGCAGTCTAAAAAAGCTGATCTCACAGAGAGAGCGCAGAAGAGCTGTTGCCAGAGGGTGGGAAGGGTAAGGAAGAGAAGGTGATTGGCAGAGACTTGTCAATGGGTACAAAGTTGCATTTAGACAGGAGGAATGAAGCTCGATGTTCTATTGTACAGCAGAGTGATTTTGGTTAATATTATAATGGCTATTTCAGAAAAGCCAGAAAGAAAGCATCTGATTGTTCTCACCACAAAGAAATGATATGTATGAGATGATGAATATGCTAAGTACCATGATTTGATTATTATGCACTTTACACATGTATCAAAGCATCACAGTGTATCTCATCTCATAAATATGCATAAGCACTGTGCATCAATTAATAACAAAAGTAAAAATTGCTTTACACTTGAAATTGCATTTTCAAGATACATAGTGAGTGTTTATGCTAATGCTTGCTTATTTCTTTATAAAATAAATGTCTATTACAATCTCGCTTAAGAAATCCAACTTCTTTGTCATCCTTGAAGCTCCCTGTGGGTTCCTTGTATCTACCACTCTAAGCTTTCATGTTCTTTTACTTTTCTTTATAGTACAGATTCTTAAATATCTATATGGATTTCTGTATGTGGGTTCTTAAAGAATACACTTAGATTTATTTGATCTAGCTTTATAGACATGGTAGACGTATGTATTCTTCTGAATCTTGTCTTACCTGCTAGACCTCCAGTACAATGCTGAATAGAAGTGGGAATAAAAATAGAAAATAATTTTTAAAGAAAACCTTCTAATGTTTTACCATTAGAATGCTGTGCAAGGTTTTCAGTGTATGCCTTTTATTAAAGTAATTCCTACTGTGGTGAATTTTTATCATGAGTGGGATGGATTTTACATGTTTTAAAGAGATGAGCATATGGATTTTGTTTTAGTATCTTAATTTGGCTTATTATATTAATATATTTCATAAAAAGCTAACATTTGGGTTAATTGTTGTTTTCATGGTTTCTTTGCCATATTTCTTTGAGCCTTGCAATGCCAACAGGGCTGTGAAGGATTCTTAGTTTCTTGTACAGACTAAGCAATAGATTGCTATGCTTTCTCATGCACTTCCTTTATTTTCACATACCATTCACTCAGAGAGAAAATAATTTCTTAGAAAATTTTGACCTATCTGCAACATTCTAATACAGTTATAAGCAATGGCCCAGGGAGCCAATCAGAGGGTTCTCTGTGTTTTGACCCAAGTTTGGGTCTTTTGAGGACTGAGTCTATCAAATCAATACTAGTCTTCTTTGTAAATGATTAGCCTCAACGAGGAGAAGGTCTATGCCATCTGTTGGCTCCCAGAGTCAACACTGATGTTTCTTCTTAAGGATGAAAAGAAAACTCTGAATAAGAAGCCCCAGGACCCCTTATTGGGTTTGCCCCCCCAGTAGGCACAACCGCAGTGAGCTCAGGGTGAGGGTCACCAGGAAGGGGCAACAGCTCAAGGAGGGGAAGAAAATGATTGAAGGTGATGAATATCACACCAACAGTCCCTTCATATCCAAATTTGTGGAGAGAATTCGAACAATGTATGAAGGATTTAGAAAGCTTCTCCTTCCCTGAGATACAGTCCAGCTCTTCTAACATGTTCCCTCTTCATGAGGTATCGATGGGAGGAGGGCAAACTGAATTTGTTAATGATACATCTCCTCACTAGCACTAAAATTAGGAATGTTGAAAAGGAGATACAGCCAGGCGTGGTGGTGCATGCCTGTGACCCCAGCACTTAGGAGGCTGAGGCAGAAAGATCACTATGAGTCCAAGGCTAGCCTGGACTATATAGTGAGTTTAAGGCCAACCTGAGCCACCTAGGAAGACCCTGTTTAAAAAAAAGAGGGAGAGATGCAGTCATTACTTAAGGATCCCCAAGAGATAGGGGAACAATTAGATCAATTTCCAAACCTATCCACACATAGGGGCTGAACTGATGCCTCCCCTGAACATTTTATTCTCCAGGTGTGTGTGTGGAGGGGGATAAGAAACCATTAGAAAAGTAGCTGTGCTTGCCTGGGAGAGAGCTCCAGTCCTCATGGGCCAGGTGCAGCTGCAGCAAAGTAAAAGCTCCCCAGTGAAGAGCCTAGATGGACTAATAATGTTAAAATGACCAAGGCCAAATGTGAGCTTTAAAAAATTTAATAATCAAAGGGATTAAAGGAATTAAAGAGTCACACACACTTGGGTCCCAAGACATCTCTAAGATATTTGAGACTCAACAGGAGTAGGAGGGAATCCCCTTTGCCTTCTTTCCAAGCTTAAAAGACCAAATGAAAAAATACTCTGGGTGGATCCACAGGGTCATTTGGGATAAGGTCTCCTCAAAATTAATGTTGAACTAAGGGGTGGCCTGACATATCAAGAAAGCTACAAAAATTAGAGGGATAAAATGAGAAGCCAATTGAGGAGTTACTCAGAAAAGCACAAAAAATTTATGTAAAAAGAGAGAAAAAAAATCATAGTCTCCACCATAAAAAGAAAGAAAGAAGAGAAAAGTGATTGAGAAAAAAATAGATTAAGTCTCCACATAAGGGATTAACAAGAGCCCATTGTTACCAATCTTAGCTGATTGAAAATATTGTTTTGGTTTTCATTTTGAGTTAGTTTTTTTCCTAAGAGTTCAATCCAATTAAATATAACTGCTTAATGTGTTCTGTATGTTATTTTGTCTGTTAGTCTACCTGTTAATCTGTTTTAATAACTGGTTAAAGTATGTGTAGCTGCTTCATTAAAGATTTTTTAGCTCATATCAACTTTATTGTTTCTTTTATTTTTGCCCTTGTAAACTCTGGCTCTCAAGAGAATGATCCAGGATGAAGCTCATTACAGAACAAAGGCTAATACCTTAGAGGGCACTTATAAATAAAAGCCTTAAAGTTTGGTAATATAAACTTTATATGTAGCTTAGGCTAGTGTATATGTTTATTTGTGTGTGTATTAACCTTCAAACATGTATTACTTTCCCAAACACCCTACTTAAATTGATTCATAGATAAATAGACACATTGATATTAGCTCAGATGCTTTTCAGTTTACAAAGTGCAACAGTGGGCTGATTTGTATCAGTTAGTAAAAGTAAAGATGTCTTTAAAATTGGTGACATGTTTCCTTTCAGGGTGTTACCCAGTCAAAATGACATCAAAGTTGATTTTATAAATACCATGTCTATTGTTGTCTGTATACAATAACTAAAAAATACATGTGTATGCATATAATTATAGCCCACTGAAAATGTTAACTACTATGATTGGTTCTCATGCATTATTTATAAAGATGGCTGAGATAACTAAGTGGGGATGAGGACACACCTAAATAAGTATCAGTAAATATATTGTTGTAATATATTTAAATTGTATATTAACTAAATGTTTCAGTTTTCCTAGCCCATATTCAACTGCTGGAATTTACCATCCACCTCTTCCAACGTGGTGACCTGGTGCTGATAAAGACCTGGAAAGAGGACAAACTCTAGCTGACCTGGGAAGTCCCCTGTCAATGCTCCTGACCTCCAGAACAGCCCCAAAGAGTGCTAAAAAGGGGTGAACTCACCATACTCAGGTCAGGGGACCCATAGGAAACATTAGGAGCTATCTTTATCACCTGAAATATTGTTAAAGCTGACTCTAAGAAAGAGAAAAACAGCAGTGGTCCCGTCTCTGGAATCCAATTTGGATGGCTACTATAAAAAATAGAGGTTGAGCTGTAGGATGAGGAGCCTGGAAGGACTCGACTATCCCCTTAAGCTGATACTTAATGTAACTAAAATCATAGCCCCTCTAACTATGAGATTTGATGACTGCCAAGTGCTATCTTATAAAAGTTTAAAATATTGCAGGACCAGACTCTAGGCAGATTTGTCCTTATGAGCTGAATCTAACTTGTCTCAACCAAAGGCTACCCTAACTAACTCCCTAACTCCCAGAACAATGATCCTACAAAGGTAGAAACAGTCTAAAAAAAGACTTGAGGCAAACAGAGATTGAAACAACTAGCCAAAAGGCCAGGGAAAACCAGATTGCTCTAGATATGTTATTGACAGAAAAAGGGGTATCTGTGTCATGTTGCACTTGCATCCCTAATAACACAGCCCCAAATGGGACCATCACTAAAGCCTTAATGACAAGACCTCAGTATCTTAGCTACTGAACTCGCTGAAAACTCTAAAACTGATGATCCCATTACAGCATGGCTAGAAAACCAGTTGGAAAAATGGAAAGGCTTAATGGATTCTGCTGAGACATCCCTCAATGTAGTAGCTGGGATGTTAAGTGCCATAGAGTACTGCGTCATTCCCGGTGGGAAAGGCCTG